GCGGTGGATGGGGACCCTAAAATGAACAATAAGGGGGGGACCTATTGTCCCCCCCGGCCCCCACCCCTGCGCGGCGGGTGGGGGCAATATTGATAATGGGGGGGGGGACCTACTGCCCCCCCCGGCCCCCACCCCTGCGCGGTGGGTGGGGGCCCTAAAAATAACAATAAGGGGGGGACCTATTGTCCCCCCCAGCCCCCACCCCTGAGCGGTGGGTGGGGGCCCTAAAATGAACAATAAGGGGGGGACCTATTGTCCCCCCCGGCCCCCACCCCTGCGCGGCGGGTGGGGGCAATATTGATAATGAGGGGGGGACCTATTGTCCCCCCCCGGCTCCCACCCCTGAGCAGTGGGTGGGGGTCCTAAAATGAACAATAAGGGGGGGACCTATTGTCCCCCCCTGCCCCCACCCCTGAGCGGTGGGTGGGGGCCCTAAAATGAACAATAAGGGGGGGACCTACTGCCCCCCCCTGCCCCCACCCCTGCGCGGCGGGTGGGGGCCATATTGATAATGAGGGGGGGACCTACTTGGCTGCGGGTGGGGACCCTAAGTAAATTTCCCCCCCCAAGGTGACTAGGGGTCCCCAAGCCCCTAGTCACCCACCCCCCCCAAATAAAAAGTCCCTACCTACCCCCCTCACCCTAAAAAATAGTGAGGGGGGAATAAAATAACTAACCTGTAAAATAAAATTAAACTTACCATTCGACGTCTTCTTTTTTCTCAAATCTTCATTTTTCAGCCCCAAAAAAGGCCAAATAAAAAACCAACATAACCGTCAAACTAAAAAAAAAAAAAAATCCCGAGCGCAAAAAAAAAAACCCGACGAAAAATAAAAAACCCGAGCGCAAAAAAATAATCCATCTTCACCCATGGAGGGCTCCGCGCAGACTGAGCTTTGCCCCGCCCTGCAATTAGGCTAAGAACACTCTGATTGATGGGTTTAAGCCAATCAGAGTGCTCCAAAGAACTTTCCCACGCTGTGTAAAATGACACAGAGCACTGTGATTGGATGGCCATCCCCTTATTGTTATTAGGGCCCCCACCCGCCGCCCAGGGGTGGGGGCCGGGGGGGGGAGGAGAGTAGGTCTCTCCCCCCCCCCTTCAACCAGATAGAGTCCCTGTGTGTTTTAAAATTCTCCTGCCCATTGAAGTCTATGGCGGTTCGCCGGGTTCGCCGGGTTCGCCGGGTTCGCGAACATTTGCGGAAGTTCGCGTTCGCGGTTCGCGAACCGAAAATTTCATGTTCGCGACATCACTACTCATTAATACTTAAAACTCATAAATCTCTGCATTACCTGGATAAAATGTACAGTAATCTAAAGAGAAGTGTCTCTCAAATGGACAGTTTAGTCACCTTAAGGCAACATAACTTTATCCTAATCAAGTTGTTATGGTGCCTGGATTGTTCCTTTAACCTTTTTTTGACAGAGACCCAAACGTTGTACATAGATGTGTACACCCGATAAATTGTCACTTCTATAACTTAACCTTCAGTGGTGATGGTGCGCAACAGAGAAATAAAAATCGTATTCACTATGGACCTCTTATAGAGAGTGAAAGTACCCCTGTGTACATGAAATGAGGTGTTTACAGAGTGGAAATATTATAAATAATTGAAAACCAAACAGTGGTTGTGGTAAAACAAAGCACAATCTGTAGGTATACGTGCAAACATGGAAACAGTGCCGGTGCTAGGATTTTAAGTTACACAGGCGAACATGCATTTTGGTGCCCCTCAACCTCCTTTAAAAAAAAAAAATGCATCTTCACCTGTGTGTATTTCCTCCCAAGCCACAGGCATATTTTTTCAGTCACACAGTCATACAAACACAGAAATAATCATACAGAGACATTTAGACACATACAGTCAGTCAGAGACATACAGACATACAGGCAAAGACATACATGCATACAGAGACATGAAGGCATATAAAAACATGCATACATACAGAGGCATACCGTCATACAGACACATACATACATACAGAAACATACATACAAAGACATCCAGGCACATACATACATACAGGCATACAGAAACATACAGGCATGCAGACACATACATACATACAGGCATACAAAGACATGCATGCATACAGAGACATACTGCCATACAGACACATACATATATACAGGCATACAGAACATACATACAGGCATACAGAAACATACATACAAGACATACAGGCATACATACAGAGACATACAGGCATACAGAAACATACATACAAGACATACAGGCATACAGACACATACAAACATTCATACATAGAGAGGCAAACCGTCATACAGACATACATACATAAACATACATACAAAGACATACAGGCATACAGAGACACACAGACACATACGTACATACAGAGACATAAAGGCATACAGTTACACACATGCATACAGAGACATATATACAGACATTCAGAGACAAACAAACATTTAGTTACATACATGCATGCATACAGATACATGCATGCATACAGAGACATACATACATAGAGATAGATACATACATACAGAGACATACATACACAGACATACACACATACACACATACAGAGACATACATACAGAGACATACATACATAGAGATAGATACATACATACAGAGACATACATACACAGACATACAGACATACACACATACAGAGACATACATACAGAGACATACATACATACAGATACATACATGCATGCATACAGATAGATACATACATACAGAGACAGACATACAGAGACAGACATACATACATACAGATACATGCATGCATACAGATAGATACATACATACATACAGAGACATACATACATACAGAAACATACATACAGAGACATACATACAGAGACAAACATACATACAAACAGAGACATACTGACATACACATACATACAGACAGAGACATACAGAGACATACAGAGACATACATTCAGACAGAGACATACATACATACATACATACAGAGACATACAGAGACATACATAGAGACATACAGACATACATTCATACAGACATACATACAGAGACATACACACATACAGAGACATACATACATACATACATACAGAGACATACAGAGACATACATTCAGACAGAGACATACATACATACATACATACATACATACAGAGACATACAGACATAAATACAGAGACATACATAGAGACATACATAGAGACATACAGACACACATTCATACAGACATACATACATAAATACAGAGACATACATACATACATACAGAGACATACATAGAGACATACATAGAGACATACAGACACACATTCATACAGACATACATACAGAGACATACATACATACATACATACAGAGACATACAGACATAAATACAGAGACATACATACATACATACAGAGACATACATAGAGACATACATAGAGACATACATAGAGACATACAGACACACATTCATACAGAGACATACATACAGATACATACATGCATGCATACAGATAGATACATACATAGAGATAGATACATACATACAGAGACAGACATACAGAGACAGACATACATACATACAGATACATGCATGCATACAGATAGATACATACATACATACATACAGAGACATACATACATACAGAAACATACATACAGAGACATACAGAGACAACACATACATACAAACAGAGACATACTGACATACATACAGAGACATACACACATACAGAGACATACATACAGAGACATACATACAGAGACATACAGAGACATACATCAGACAGAGACATACATACATACATACAGAGACATACATAGAGACATACAGACATACATTCATACAGACATACATACAGAGACATACACACATACAGAGACATACATACATACATACATACAGAGACATACATACAGAGACATACAGAGACATACATTCAGACAGAGACATACATACATACATACATACATACAGAGACATACAGACATAAATACAGAGACATACATAGAGACATACAGACACACATTCATACAGACATACATACAGAGACATACATACATACATACATACAGAGACATACAGACATAAATACAGAGACATACATACATACATACAGAGACATACATAGAGACATACATAGAGACATACAGACACACATTCATACAGACATACATACATACAGACATAAATACAGAGACATACATAGAGACAGACATACATACAGAGACAGACATACAGACATACATACACAGACATACATAATTACATACTTACATCTGTTAAATCTTGTCCCCTGGGTGCATGCTGTCCGGCTCTGTGGAGTCCAGTCCTGCAACCCAGCCCCATCACAGGGCGCCAGCCGCGCTGTGTGGGACACAGGGAGCAGGGATATGATGTCATTCATATCCCCGCCCCCTCCACACAGCCTGCGGCAGACACCAGGATAGGAGGTGGGCGGGCCGAGGCTGAGCTCCGCGGGCGGGAATCTCTGGGCTGCGCTCGGTAGTAACCAGCTGGAGGGGAGCCAGGTGCGCTTCCCTCCTTCCTGTCTGCCTGATGTCGCGCCCCCAGGGCTGGTGCGCCCTAAGGCGGCCGCCTGGGCCGCCTTATGGTAGCGCCGGCCCTGCATGGAAATCACTCTGACACCTATTAAGGAGACAAAAACAGAAAGAGCTCCTAGTGCAGCGTAGTAATTCGCTTATAAATATATAAAATAAAGCAAACAGAGGTGCCCTTTAGGTGTTACACTCACAAGATTGGAGTGGTAAAAGCACCACTCATTGCTATAGCACTCAGGGAGGATCAGCCCCTAGAGTGCGTGGGATCCGTGGAAAGGAAGCTTGCAATCCGGATCTCAGGTAAGTATACTTTATTAATAACAATTAAAAAACAGCAAAACTTGTTGTGGAGATAATTAGTCCGCTCACCAGCCTCAGGAAACCGCAAAGAAAGTTCCATATACTCATGCAATGTAAAAAAATCTTCCGGCTGCCATCCTGGTTGCTGTTGCCGACTGTCTCCAAATCACTTCCTGGTTCCGGGTCCATAATGCATTTCGCCCCACCTACAGGGCTTTGTCAAATCGTTTGACAAAGCCCTGTAGGGGGGGCGAAATGCATGTCTCGCACTGTAATGTGTCTCGGATAAGATATGTTTCAAGCATACTGCAGAACCCATAACTATTCAGTGAAATTATTATGGGGCCTGGAGGTCCTGGGTGGGTACATGCATTTCTAAAGCATTCCTCTTATCAGCTGATGCTCTCAAAGCATCTTCCTTATTAGTGCCAGGGGTTAACCAATTCTAAAATGGTCCTAAAATGAGATGCTCAGACTGTTGTGAAATGAGCTGTAGTATGTTTTTAAATAAATAAAATGTTATGCAATACATTGTTTTTTTATGTTCTAATTTTTTTCAGATAGATTTTTTTCTTTTCATACACATTAGGAGCTATGTGCTGTACCTGAGGCATGGCATTACCCACATTTTGGCAATCCACATATAATAAGGTTTGAAATGTTATTGAAAAAAATCATTTTGGGTGTTAACAGGCAGGGCCGGCACTTCCAATAGGCGACTTAGGCAGACGCCTAGAGCGCAACTTTGAAGGCCAGCATGGCACCCATCATTAAGAAGGAACATGGAAGCAGGGGAGAGCACAAAGGGACAGGAGGGGAGAGGATACACAGACACACAGAGGGGCTCAGGAAGGCGACGCACAGAGGGGCCTGGGGGTGGGAAGGGAAAAACACACAGAGGGGCCACAAACCCTCTCTTTCACACTATACACATACACAATGCATCCCTATACACAAACACATGCACAGAAGCATACAATGCATCCCTACTCACACACCAAAACATACAGTTAATCCTACACACACACAGAAACACACCATGCTTCCCTTACACACTCACCCTTACACACAATGCATCCATTACACACACACAATGCATCCCTTACACACACACACAATACATCCCTCACACACACACACACACACACACACACACAGACACACCCACAATGAAGCCCTTGCGCACACAATACATCCCCTACATACAAAAACACACACTGCATCCCTTATGCACATACAAGCACACACAAACACACACTGCTTCTCTTACACACACAGAAACACAATGCATCTTACACACACTCAATGCACCCCTTACATACACAGAAACACACCTTGCATCCCGTACACATACAAACACAGTTTCACACAATGCATGCCTCACACACACACACAGAACACACAATTTATTCCTTACACACAAACACACACTTCATCCCCTATACACACACACACACACACTACAACCCGTACACAAACTGGTATTCCTATACACTACATTCCATAAGAACACATACACATTACATCCTCTACAATAACACATAACACATCCCCTACACACATACACTCCACTCCCTGTGAGCGAACTCATGTGTGGGTCTTGTAGGTATAAGGCTCATGGGTGGGTCTTGTAGGCATACTCACAGTCAAGCCCTGGGGGTCCAGACCTTGAGCTGTGTAAGGGGCCCAAAAAAATGGAGCTGCGTCCTGTTTGTTGATTTTCATTGAGCAAAGTTACAAACAACCTCCAGATGTAGTGGTTCTGGTGTCTATAGTCTGTCCCTGAGGCTTTTTAATGTAAACACACTGCCTTTTCAGAGCAAAGACAATGTGTGCAGCACTGGCGTTGGCTCATATGGCAGATCATATGGGTGGGGCATTGTGATGTCACATGGTGGGCAGAGCATATGGGGGAGCGTCAAATTTTTGAGAATGGAGGTCTGCTTAGGGCATGAGTTGGAGAATAGAGGTCTGCCTAGGATGGGAGTGGGAGAATAGAGGTCTGCCTAGGGCAGGAGTGGGAGAATGGAGGTCTGCCTAGGGCGAGAGCTGGAGAATGGAGGTCTGCCTAGGGTGAGAGCGAGAGAATAGAGGTCTGCCTAGGGCAAGAGCTGGAGAATGGAGATCTGCCTAGGGCAGGAGTGGGAGAATGCTTGCACCAGCCCTGAGGCACGTTTATTTCAATAGGTACCAAATGCTAAATCACGGTACGATAACAAGAGCAAAGCAAGGTTAAAATTCCATGGGAACATATTAGATATATGCTACATACATTTTCTTGAAATATTTGCTGACAATCACCATTCCCATACCACACCTCCTGCCAAATGTGAGTGAATGAGAGCAGATCGTCCAGCCAGAGGGAATTACTACCTAAGTATTTATTTGACCACTTGTCTAAAATATTTCCAATAAGGCATGAAGTCTCTTCAGTCTAGTACTTTCCATGCTCCCCATTACCATGCTGAGAATATTGAAAGTTGAGAATTAAAATTCAATTTAGTATTTCTACTTGGCTGAGCGAAGTACTGTTTTTTCCTAATGGGATCCAGAGAATGATACATGCTATGACCTGCAATGACCTCTCAGCCAGAAACCCAGTCTCTGACCAGATAATATTATTTATTTATTTATATATTTATTTATTTATTCATTTGATTGTCCACATATTTACAAGATTTTGCAAATGTTCCATCAGTAATTATACCTTAGGATTTTTGACCAGTGATGATTTGGAAAGGATAACAGAGTGTAGCCATGCTTATCACTTCTTGGAAAACATAGTGGAACAGCCAGAAAGAGGGGAAGCTGCAAAGTAATGTGACCTTCATGGTCAAACCATAGAGGGATGTAGAATTCCAAAGATGTGTGGTAATGTGTGGTTGTGTGCCTGACCTGGTGCTCCTAAGCCAGGCTTCCCAAGGCAGGTTTTGTGTACTGCAAGTGTAACACTGGACTCGCATATCTCCAATAATTTGATTATTTTGTTGAGAAACAAGGCAGTTTTGAGTTTTAAAGCAAAAATATTCCCAAATTGTAGACTGCAATGACTAACACATTCATGCAGTTTAATATTCAGAATTCTACCAGATGTTCCTACTTCCTGTCACTATGCTGCAAAATCTATGCTTAAGATTATGCATATATGTTGCAGGACACCGAGTTAGTCATTTTCATGTATTTTTGTGTTTGGTCTCCTGATTTGGCCGAGCTAAACCAGCATCCAGCTAAAAGTCGGGTGTCGTGAAAAATCTTCTATGTGCAGAAAAAATATTCAGCAGAATCTAAATTTCTCACTGTACTCTGTTCAAGTGTGAACCGCTAAGAATCCAATGGAAATTTAAATTGTATTTCAGATCCAAGGCCGAAAAAGATAAATCAAAAACATATCTTTACATATCTCCGTTTTTGGACTAAATTTTAAAAATCACTTTGAATTCTCTACAAATCGATCTGTAATAAACCCTGTATGAACACAATTTCATTGTGGATGGATTCTGTGTAATTCTTTCTAGCAAGTGCTTTATAAATTACTATTACAATACAAAATTTAGTGCAGATAAATAATTCTATAACATTTATTCTTTATCTTAATTATTGGATAGACACAGCTATGTCAAGAGGATTGATCTAGACTGTCGACAGGAGATCCAAACTAACTTGACATTTTCTATCTTTAGCAGAGAAGAATTATAAAATACAGGTATTTCGTTTTAAATCCCTGTGACTTTTCTTGACAGACATGATTATTATCTGTCAGTTTTTATGACATGAGCAAGAAAATATCAATTAAGAGATGTCACTGTCACTTTTTCATAACGCGATCATTTCTTCCTTAAATGCAAAAAATTTAAAAGGTTTTTTTTTTTTTTTTTTTAAAAAGCACTTCCCAGAATGTTCTAGAGTTAAAATAAACTTCAGAAAGCAGGAACTTTTTTTTATTAAAATCATAAATACATCTGAGAAAGTCTGGAAACATTCGCCTCTAGCGCTGTAAGTATCGGTTCCTTGAAGATTCATGTTGGGATTCATTCTCACAAATTTTGCAAACCTCCCAAGCCCAGGTCAACGCATACAGCCCAGAGCAACATTATTTTACGCCACAAGCACTGCATGGCTGCTGGCTTGTATCCCTTTTAAACAACTCGGCAGTATATGATGACATGTTATAAATAAATTATAATAACAATAAAAACAAAAATAAGCTTTGAAAAGCCAGGACAGGCCGACAAATTCCAGGGAAGTATATTTCACATTTAGCAATCGAACGTGTTCTTTACAATAAGAGCAATAAACAAAGACATTTACTGCGTAGAGAGGTTGCGCTTTTTGCTCCAAAATATGGCAATGTGATAATTTTTCCGCTAGACGATGTAAGGAGAAATAATTCATGTAAACTGTCCGGTCAATGATCACTATACTTTCTTTTATATATTTATAGTTTGTATTTTAATCCCAACAGGTTTAGCACCAAATATTCAGTCTATTTTATAGAGTAGGACAGGGGCACTTAGCCAATCATATGGCATATTTCACTTGCCATACCAAAATATATTGTAACCTCTCCACTCTGTTATTTTAACACACACACACAGGCACACATACACTCACACATGCACACACGCACGCACACATGCACACACACACACGCCTGGTGCATTTAAGAAAGCAGATTCCCAAACCACCTGCAGAATATGAGAAATCAGTCTGTTATTAAGCATGTTATACGCAGTAGATACAGCATATGTGAAAAGTTAAAAGCACTGCATAGAAAAGCTGACCTATTCAGTGTTACAGGACTCTCTTTTTCTGCTTTCATGTGCCTTAAAGAACAACTGCCATCAAATTTTCATTTTTAAAAACGTAATAATATCTTTTAAATTATGTATATTGATTTATTTGATTTTTTTTTTAACTTTTTATCTGGCTGAGTGGCCATCTTGAGTCAGACTCTACAGCTATCTGACCAACTGCTGCTCAGCCAAGCTTGCCGGCTGCTGTTATTGCTCTGTGTGAACCTGCAGCAGGAGGGATTCATTCTCAGAAATTTTGCAAACCTCCCAAGCCCAGGTCAACGCATACAGCCCAGAGCAACATTATTTTACGCCACGAGCATTGCATGGCTGCAAGTTAGGCTGAGCGGCTGTTGGTCAGATAGCAGTAGAGTCTGACTCAAGATGGCCGCTCAGCCAGATGAAAAAGTCAAATTTTCTAAATTAAAAGCTATAAATCTAATTTTAAAAAATATCATTCATTTTAATTA